TTTTCTTTAAACATATTATGTTAATTATTAATTTTATACATCTTATTATTATAATATATTAATTATTTTAACCTAACGACAAATTATTAGCTGTTAATGCTGTTGATTGACGTTTTAAAAATATTAACCATTTAAAAAAATTTAACTCTAACACATATAGAATATGCAATTTGAAAATTATAATATTAATATTAAAAGTAGATTCTAATACACGATTCAATCTTTCTTTGGCATATTATGCAATTACTCACTTTATACCCACATGTTTTACATGTCACCAAATGATGACATGGTGTAAAATAATGTGTGATATCTTTCTCAAGACAGATCTTACATTTTAGTGTATGATTCTTAAGTTCTTTGTTCTCCTTGAGCAATGTTTCGTTAATATTCATTTCGGTTGTTAACTTCTTTTGTAAAATTGTTAAATGACTTTTCATTCTTTGAATTTCTTTTTCTAACATTTGGATTTGTTGACTCAAATTTCCATCAGGTTCACTGTCTGTAAAAAAGTCTTTGAAACCTTCATAATATCTGTTGACTTCAGGAGAAGAATTTATTATTTTAAATAATAGATATACTTGGTCCATACAATCTATTCATTTTTTTTTGTTAATTGTAAAAAAAGATTCAGTGAATGGTCTTTACATGAATAATATTAAAAGTCTCTGAAAGATCTCTGAAACTTATTAACCAACACCCCCTATAAAATAATAACCATATGAAAGCTTAAAGTATTCTACACCTTGTCTGTTACTATCAAGTCTTTTAAAGTGATATTGGTGGATAATCACAACTTAGAGATTGGACCCATCAAAAAACCTTACCCAGATCACCCATCAAGGCAAACCCATGGGTCATCCAGGTGGTTTATGGATCTTTTGTATAGGGGTTTAATATTTACATAATCAAATGATAAAAATAATTTTTATCTATTGTCCCAAACTTTGCAATATAAATTATTTCTTTTTACAAACAATAACTGTTTCATTACTTCATGCCCTAAACATGTTCTTTTAGAGGTAACCAAATTTCTTGCATCAGAAAAAAAATCACTCACATGGAACAGAGGTGGCAGGAATCGATAAGTATTCATGTGTAATTCTACTAAAAATGGGAAAAGGGTTCTGATTGTTCTTCCACCATTGATAAACATCAACTCTTTCATTTAAGTAATTATCTATTATCAAGAATAATATGCTAATATAAATTTGAAACAAAAATTATACATAAGAAACAATTGATAAAAAAACAATTGATCTTACATGAAAAAGAATTTGACAATCTCTTAATTGTGAATTAATCAAAAAATAAAAGAGATGACAAATTGATAGTGTCATTGCCAAAATGATTACAACAATATTTATGATTAAATTGTTATTTATAATTTTTATATATGATATATAATAAATTCGTTAACTGTACATCAAATTTTCACACTTATTAATTGGGAATAAATATTTTAATAAACCAGATAAATCAATTTTTGAATTACTCAAAATAATTAAATTTGCAAGTAGATTATTAAGAACTATAAGTTGTAATAAGTGTATGGAATTCAGTTGGGGATATAGTGCAATATAAAAACCAGCAAAAATAGATATTGTTACCAGAATTAGGATTTAATGCTGATTTGTTGTCGAAATACCCTAATTCCGAATCAAATCTTTTTTTTCTATATATTTTTACTTTATTTTTTATATCTATGTATTATGTTCAAAATTAGTCAACTTTATTTAGAAATTAGTGTTGTGGTTAGAATGTTACGTAGCAATTAAAGTGCGATATTGCGGTTAGAATGCTAGATTGCAATGAAGTTGTTACTAATCAATTTAATTGTATATAAGAAGCTCAAATTCGACATACTTGTAAAATAACTTTGTAACTTAGAAATAAGTTAATAAATTAGTTTCGACTAAGTAAAACGTTTTCTTAACTATTAAATCACTAAACCAAATTATTCGTTAGTAAAACTAATTCGTTAGGAATAGCAAATTCATTCTGATCCACACAATCATAAATTTATACATTTAATTTTAATAACAAAAAACATGCACAACTAAATTTACATTTCACACACTGGTTATAATAGATATTTAAACATATTATGTTCAAGAGGAATCATAAACTAGCATTATAGAAAACCACAAATATTATGGACAGGCTAATTTATCTTTCTTCCGTCCAGTTCCAATCCCTATCACAGCTTTGAAGTGAAAAAACACCACTACTTTTAAATAGCCATAGCTTTATATAGGAAGCGTTCTCAGATATAAAAATATGGCTAGAAAGCTTAAATGGTGTAGTTTCTTGTTATCTTAATAATGAAGTTAAAGTTTATTATTAAAAGGTCGAGCGAGATATTTTTAAAAACCCGATTTGTTACACGAATTTGAAATTTTATATTTTCACATGTTGTACGTATATACATAAAAAATTAATTATCCAAGTAACGAAAAAGATATAAAAAAATGGATATGCTTCAAAACAAATTCCACTATTATAATATTCGAGTTGATAGAGAATTATCAAAATACCCACAGATAATTAACTTGGAACGACAAACTGGAATTCCAAAAACTTATCTTGCAGCTAGTGTTGTTGGTATTGTTTTTGTCTTGATCTTTTTCAATGTCTGGGGATCGTTGTTTTCTAACATTATTGGTTGGCTATATCCAGGTAGACATACTATTATTATTGTTATTATCATTACTATTACTACTATTATGACATTTATTTGAATTAATAATTATTTTATCTATATATATGTATAAGCTTATGCTTCTTTCAAAGCCATTGAAAGTGCTAAAAAAACTGATGATACTCAATGGTTAACATATTGGTATAAATATTTACACGCAAGCATGAAATATTTGAATATATATGCATATAATTTATGACTTAATGAATTAATCAATTTATCTATTTAGGACTGTATTTGGATTTTTTAATATAGTTGAATTCTTTTCCAATATTGTTCTTTATTGGGTCCCTTTCTACTTTTTGATCAAGACGATCTTTCTTTTATGGTAAATAGATTAAATCAATCATTAAATATATTAATAATGTAACATATAATTAATATTAGCCTGTTTTTATATATACCCACATAAATAATATTAATATATTTTTATGTTTTATATATTTAAAGGCTTTCCCTTCCACCTTTTAATGGTGCCAAGATCGTTTATGCTAGAGGAATTAGACCATTTCTTTTGGAATACCAAGATGCTGTTGATGAAAATCTTGATAAATGGAAAAGAAAAGTAGATCCTTATGTTGAAGAAGCTTTTGAATCTTCTAGCAATTTTGATAGGGATTACTAGGTGGATGAATGAAATGAATGTGTGAATATATAAATAATTGCTTATTCATATACAATACAATATAATCTAATTAAATTTTTGGAAATTGTAATTGCAAATTTTAAAATTAATATTTTTTTTTATTTCTTAAATATAATGGAATAAAATATATATGTAATAAATAATAAAAATATTTTTCTATAAATATATACACACATAAATTTTACATAATATAATAAAATTAAGACATATAATAGTAATCATAAATCATTAATAGATGCATCAGGTAAAAACATACTAAGGATATCAGTAAGAGTAATTACACCAATAGGTATATCATTCTCATCTACAACCCAAGCTCGATGAGCCTTATTATGCACAATACTTGCCATAACTTGGCTCAAAGTAAATTTCTGATGACAAATTAATGGTTTAATTAATGCACCTTTGGTTGATTTAAGGAACATTATGACAGGTTTTTTTAAATCACTCAAACGATCTTTATTTAAACCACGTAAATCAGCTGCTGATATTTCTCCAACCAGGCTACCACTATCATTAACAATTGCAACTGCCTCGACTCCATATTGATGCATTTTTTTAAAAGCTGTTAAAGCTTGAGCATGAATCGTGATGGATGAGAGTTCAACCAATAATAATTCTTGATCATGTGTTTCTGGTGTTGTTGAAGTTGCAGTAATTGTTGTTGTTGAAGTTGAAGAAGATGGTGAAAATAATTTAGTTGCTTTATTAGCAATGTTTGACGCAGGGGTATCTAAAATCTTGCCTAATTGATGATTATGATTGAATAGGAATCTTATAACATCAGTTTGAGATACAAAACATGGTTGCGCCTCTTCCTCATTAATGACATTGCCAATATCTGGGTCTTCAATTAGATGTTGAGTGGACACCAAAACACGATGAATTTGTTTACGTGTAAACAAATCTAATAGATTAACAAGTGGATCTTCTGTATGGCATACAGTCAGATTTGTGCTCTCTGGCGTTAATCCAATGAGTTCACCAATTGGTTTTTGTAAAAAGTAAGAATTATTGTCATTACTTAAAATTTCATCATTGTCAAAAATTGGCTTTAAAAATAAAAGAATTATAAAATAAATAATAGCATATATATATGTGTATATATATATATATAAGTATGTATTTGTATTCTTACCTGCAAACAAACAAAAGAAACTAAATCAAAAACATTAACAATCGCAATTGGTTGTTTATGACCTCTCCAAAGTCTATAAACAGATACACTTATAATATTTTCAGCAAGTAATACATCAAATACTTCTTCTATTGTTGCAGTAACGGAAATTTCAATAAATGTTGAAATGTTTTGTTTTTCAGAGAGAACAGAGTTAATTGTTTGGCCTTTAATAAAAGTAATATGTTGAGGAGAAGGGTACATACTAAAAATATAATATAAAAACCAATAGTAATTTTTTTTTTTATTTTTTGAAAAAACTTACTACTTTATCCACTTTACTCATGACAAAGTATACCCCCCTCCCAAATTTGACATTGATCTTCGATAGTTGGTAAACCAATATATTTATAGCAAGACTTATCTGAATAAATAAAATTAACTAATATTAAATAATCTATTTTTTCGACAATTTTATTAACATTAATAATAACTCATGAAGTTATTTAATAGTAAAATGAGACTTCTACTTGCGAATGATAATAATAACAAATAATATCATCCATCTTTGCTCCCGACCATTAATTGCTGCAAAGGACATGTTAAGTTTAACCAATTTATCATGCATATTAGATATAACCACACAAGGAAGTTTCATCTGACAACTTAATATTTAAAAAGAATTTCATATTAATATCATATTTAAAATTGAAAACTTAAGAAGATTGCATTAATTATAAATTAAACAAAGTAATTGATGTTATATAATAATAATATGGGAGAAATTGATGTGGGGTTTGATGAATGACATTGTTGATGTACCTGTTGAATAACAACAATTTATTTTTATTATTAAATTTAATATGTATTATTCCAAAGCTTGCAATTGAAATCAAAGAATTATGTCTGACATATCCAAAAGAGAAATAAATAAATATCAGTTTCAGAAAAAAAATAATTATGAATAATAAACTATTATCTTCCTGTTTTTCTTGATTTCTCATCATTTGTTTGGTTTTTTAAAAAAAAAATCTTAAATTCCAATTCCCAATCTTCTTTTTCATTTTCACTTCCAAAATCATAATCTTTGTCATCATCATTGTCAAATTCTTTGAATATTAAATAATTTTCTTTGTCATCTGAACAAATTCATCATCTTCAAGAGCTTCCAAGATTTGGATCTATATCTGGTTGAAAAATAGAGAATATTAATTAAATTTTTTTTTTTTTTTTTTAAATTTCAAATTATAAAATTACCATCAGGAATTGCTGATTGTATTAATGGTCAAATAGGTAATTTTACAATCTCTTTCTTTTAATCCTAATAACCAAATCAGTATATAAATATATTTCAATAACAAACAAATAGTTGTAAACTTATATTTTTAATCAAAATCAAAATTATAAAAGATAATTCAGAAGGAACAATTGGTAATAATTAATGTTAAATCATTAATTCTTTTGGAATATCATTTTTTAAAATCATTTTCATCATTGCTTTTTTTTTGTGTTTACAACATAAACAAATTACATAATAATTATAATAATAACCTTTCCTCCAATACTGAATCTCTTTTTTTTGATTTTCAACTAATTCAACATCTCCACCATTCTTTAATCTTTAGAAATATTGATATAATTCCATCCAAATTTTCACAAATTGCTTTTAAATGTTATCATATCCCATATATACAAAAATAATATAGCCATTTATTCCTGTAAATAAAAAATAAAAAATTTTTTTTTAAGTTTCATATTCTATATATTTATGGCAATATTTTTGATAGATCTTGGCATGGAAATCTTGAAAATTTATATACCCCAAACATTTTTCTGTGATTGGCTAATTCATTTTGGTAATATAAACCTGAAATTCGAAAGACAAAAGTGATGGCATTTTAATCATCAAATAACAAATGACAAAAAAAAAAAAACAATGCCACCCATGTATAAATGAGATTCATGAAATGGATATTTTCCTACAAACAACATGATAGTGCTCAATTGTATATCTTCAAGCCAACATCATTCATTTACACTAAAAGCATTATATTGGAAATCCACAAACTCTTCTTTGTTGTGGCCACTCCATTTAAAGTATTACAGATTTGACAAATGCAATAATATGGAAAACATTGTTATTATTATCATATTGTTGTGTAAATTCGAAATGAAAATTGAGTATAATAATGTAGAAGATATAGATGGGTACAAGGATGATAATAACTATTTTCATTTTGCAAAAAGAATTGAAAATAACAACCATCCCTACAAAAGTTTAGATGCTTATTTCCTACTTATTTTCTAAATTTTTACAAAACATACTTAAATCAAAAAAGATGATTTACTAATTATTTGCAAAATATGTATGAATATACTTATTTTACAATTAAAACATTCTTATTTTTTACAGTAATAGGAATTTAGATATCCTAATTATACACTTAAAATATACCTCTGAGTTTTAATAATTCTTAAAACATACTTATCTTCTTGATTTTGTAATTTATATATATCCTTAAAACATACTTGAATTTGAAATACAAATAACAAATAATTGACCAATCCAATTTCACTTCTGACTGATAAATGACTAATGGCAAGGTCACAGTCATTGAATTTTCATCAGATTTGCATAAAATTTGCATCGCGCACAACCATTACTAGGATATTATTACACTAATGCAATGCTATTGCTGAGATCTGTGGTCTTGGATCAACTTTTTA